CTCATATAGACCAAAATAACTCTTGAGAATTCAGTTATCTTTTTTAAAGCTCTATTTAGTTTTTTACAATATCTTTATTTTTATGTGGTGATGAGGATTGAACCCAGTGCCTCCCACATTCGAGGCAAGGACTCTACCACTGAGCTACAGCCCCAGTCCGAATTCAGTTATCTTTTCTGGTCAAAAAATAGCTAGGTAAAGTAGGCCTGAGGTTGCTAGAATGCAATTTTGATGCGAAAGGAGAATTTCTTAGTTCTTTTCTCAATTTTATTTATAATATGAAATTGAGGCCCATATGTAAAGTGTATGTATATATATATAAATTTGGAATAAAATATAAAATACTCCAGGACAGAGTAAGAAAAAATAGACCAACAAATGCTTATTATTCTGTATCTAGCATTAATTCTAATATTACTTACAAAGAGGAGGTTTTCTTGGGTCTAGACAGTGTGATCCCAGGTAAGGGAAATCCAGCTCAGTGAGTCAGAAGAGAGTACTCCAGGTTTGGCTTTTCCTCCTTAGCTGAGCGACTGATCTTTCTTGGCCTCAGTTCATTCTTTGGGGACAGATGTTTGCTTCATTGAGTCCAAAACCTATATACAAGTAGTCAAATTGCAGCTGCTTACCATAATTTAGTAGAGCCAAAATATGCACTAGTTAATTTAAAAATCTGCTGAGTACCTATCCTCTTTGTTTTGTGCCTGGCCCTGCCTGGACCTTAGTCATTGTGATTTACTAGTTCTACTCTTCTCCTACCCCAATCCCACTATATCTGTTTTCATACCATGTCTTTTGATTCTGGGGAGACAAGGCTGGGGGCTGCACCTTAAAATTATACCTCTATATTCTACATATAATATATCTTTTTCCTTTTCAATCTTTCAGTATCTTCAAGGATCAAATCCCCCCTTTTCTTTCCCTCTTATTTATCTATTTCTTCTCATTTATCTAGTCTCATTCTGACTACCATAATAGCATATTGCCACACCATATCTTTTTTTCTGAAATTATCTCTTGCTAATTACACTCCTACCACATACTTATACCCTACATTTTCTTTTGCAAGTATCTGTATTTGAACTGAGATTACATAAGATAGATTTTGTTTGACAATCAAAACCTCAGAGGCATATTTATTTATCTAGTGATTTTATTACTAATTAATTGTATTATTACACTCGATGGCAGTACCATTGTTCTCCATATTATTGACTCGAGGTTTAAACATTTTTCTCTTCTACTATATCCTCTTTTTTGCCCTACAAACTATTAATAGTACACAGTTTTTAATTGATTCCCAAGTGTAGCCAGACTAAGATGCAAGAACAAGAGACATTGCAGTTCCCCCTAAAGAAGCAAATACTATTAAAAATAATATGGATTATTGAAAGTAAAAGACATTGAGAATTTTTTTAAAATGGAT